ACCAAGATGTGCCAGCCAGGTTTGACGGAGTGTTTCTCTGAACTCAAAGTTTAGCTTTCAAAATCTGCCTGGGTTTCAAATTTTGTAATTACTTCTTCAAACACAGAAAAAAAAATTAAGCATTCTGGGCAGGTGGGGAAAGGTGGGTATTAATAGAAGCAACATTAAAAATGCATTATCTCGAAAAACAGCTTGCATAAATGTGTGTGTTGGGCATACAAAAAGGCCTCTCAGAACTATGAAGAAAAGTGCGTGCAAATTTTGAAGTGAAAGATTTTGTTTGTTTAAATCTTACAAGGTTCGACAGACTGAAGACTGGACAAACGACAGCTGGAAAACCACCAAAATGGACACATACACTCAACTTCCTACCAAACCCAAAGTTAGAGGACCGGCAACTCAGAAATCAAGGAGTGGATTTACCAGAACCATCCTCTTTTCTATATCTAGTGACCCCAACAAGGAGAAAAATGGACACCTTTGGCAAAACGAAGCCCGCATCCATTCACCCAACGCCCATGAAAAGTTGGATTTTACAAGGAAATAAATTGCACATCGATGAAAATCAAAGACCCCTGACCGAGATGGTGACAGTACCCCCTCCCCCGGTTCCCTCTTAACACTCAACTGTTTCACAACGGCTTGTTAAAGCCCCATTTCAAAAAGAGAATCCCTTTTACTTGGGAGTAGCCAAACCAGCTGAAAAACATGTGTGGGACTTGTTCAGAGCAGTAACAACTTGCTGGGTGTTCCAGCAAAATGGACCGGTTACTCAGCATCTCTTTGCCAAAGCCCCTTCCGGCCAACTGTTCAACCAGGATAAAACTTCTGTCCTTGAAGAGTTTACACCGAGAGGCAGCCAACAAGCATCCTCGTGGACCCCAGCTGTAGCGGTCTGGTTTTCCTCAGATCCCTTTGCAGCAGCTTCTTCTTAAAGCAGGAGTCTTCCATTTTTCCATGCTGACATTTATAACTTATAAAGGATTTCAGGGCATGTTTGAGAGGAAGCACTCATTTTCCAAGTGGTCTTACGCAGTCACCTTTCCAGATGCCCAACCGACTGTTGGCTAACCCCCTTTCTGAGGAACCCTGTAAGCATCTGAAAAACCCCAAAATCTCCCCCGAAGGCCACCTCTGAACCATCATGGCAGAAATCTGTCAGTCGGTTCCTTGTATCTTGTGCCCACTGCTGTTTCAGAGAATGGAACACCATCTTTGGAAAAAAAAATACCAAGAATAAACCAGCCTTGAAAAAAGTATATTACTGAGACTTAAGTTTTTAATAGTTTCAAAGGGGGAAAAAACTTACCTTTTTATCAATTACCTATCTGAAGGTAAAAACCAGCGAAGCAGCAACTGTGCATATGTGAGTATTGTACAAACAGCTGACCCCTCAATATCCAGGTACACATATTGTATGAATTCCTTTTTAGGCCAGTTATTGTTGCAGAACGAAAACAAATGCAACCCCCCACCACCACCACCTTTATCATGCTTTTTATGTTAACGCTGGCTTCCGTAGCCTCCAAGAGAACAGTGTAAATGTATTCACAGTGGAAGCTTCTTCTTTTGGTTAGAAAATAAGAATGGGTATATCTCATTCAAATAAACAACTTATAGTATTTACTGTGTGTGGTAGGTTTCTTCTCTCCGTCCTTTCAAAATACAGTGATGCCTCGCTTAACGAGCGCCCCGTTTAACGAAAAAAATCGCATAGCGATAGCTTTTTTGCCATCGCTTTTGCGATCGCACAACGATCTTGCCTATGGGGGGAAATCGCTTTGCGGTTTTCAATGCATTCCTATGGGAAATGGTGCTTCACATAACGATGTTTTCACATAACGTTTTTTTTGAACCAATTAACATCGTTATGCGAGGCACCACTGTACCACCGAATGAGTTACAATTTGTATGCTGTTAGTTTGAAAAATGGTAAGTCAAATTAGGGATTTCTTTAGTTATTGCAAAGGAAGCTGGGCTTTTCGTTGCCACTTTGGCGCGGATTTAGAAGCCTTAAAACCAGCAAATGCATACTTTAAAAGAGAAGATGAAACAGGCTATTAAAGCTTTAACCCAACGTAAGTTCTAACCAGGGATGTGAACCTTGCAAATTCCCACTCTCCATGAGAAACAGAGAAAATAAACTTCCTGTTTTCGACTCACAAGAAGAGTTTTCTGCACATTTTTTTTACTCCCCTGAGAAATGCAGTATATCACGTGAAATCTTGTGAGATTTCTCAGGATGCTCCTCATTGTCTTTTCCAGGAAAAAAAAAAAAACAAGATGTGCAGGATTGCAAATCATCTCTCTGCAGAACGGCATCTCAACCTGTGCGAGACTTACCCAGGAAAGGCAGAAAGAACACCGAAATGGTCAAGATTATTACAATTCCTAGCTAGAAATCCATACATATTTCCTGTGCAAAAGCCACCCGTAAAGAGCTTTAATCTGTGCAGGATTTGAGAGTTTTCTGGGCAGAACAAGTGAAAATTAAAAAAAAAAAAAAAACTTGAGAAGGCAAGTGTTCCTTTTTCCCCCAGGAAATCTCACTGATAAAGGAGAAAGTCTTATCTGAGACCTTGGCATGGTGAGACTCAGAGAATGACATTTTTCAAGCGCTGAAGGCTTCTGGGAGTTGTAGTCCAAGAACCTCCATGGACTCAAGGCTGGGAGAAGATTTAATTCTCTGAGTCTGGTTCAACCCTTTCAATCATGGTTCCCTTATCAATATTTGGCAATGTTACTTTATCCATTATCGCTCCCAGATTTCCTGAGTGCGCTACTTGGAGGATTCTGGGAGTTAAGGGGGAGGGAAAGTAACTTCTCCAGGCTATGTTCTTTCTCTACCCTTCAACATTTGCCCCAATCTGTTTCACCTTTCCAGACAAGTCCATGAAGGCTATATACTAAAAAATAAACAGGGATCGTTAACCAAACAGACCGTATTTTTCTCACTATAAGACGCACCTTTTTCGCCCCACAAAACAGGGTGGTGGAAAGTCTGTGCGTCTTATGGAGCGAAGAAAACAGATTATTTTTTCCTGTTTTCTTCTCCTAAAAATTTGGTGCGTCTTATGGGACAGGTGTGTCTTATGGAGCGAAAAATACGGTAATTCGCCTCACTTAGAGATCAAGCACAAAAATACACATCCATTTAAGGTTGGTTGGTGTTCTTTCACAATTGCAAATAGTATTAAAAAGGCCATTTAATTGTGCTTTTTAAAAAATACACACACACAATAGCCTACTCCCTCAAAAGAACAAAGCCAAATCTCCTTCATTTGGTTATACACACACACTCTCTCTGACTCTTCTTAAATTCCCTTTTGTCAGACAAGCCAGCTGAAAGAAAAAACAGCTGGGCTCAGTTTTGAGCCTCTAAATTAAAAGCAATCTAACAAGATCTGTAGGGAATAACTCCTTTCGGCTGATCGCTGAGGGCTTCGGAAAGGAGTGAAAAAAATTCCTCAGAACTGAGGTAGTTTTGCAAGCGATCGGCACATTTTTCACCCCCTTTTTGCAAGGGGGAAAAAAACCCAGAACATAGCTATTTACAATCATTTTTCTCACCCACCCCCACACATACATTTATTAATACTCCCTCGTCAATGTTTTTCTAAGGTTTTTTATGCTTTTGTGTCTGGTTTCCTATAAGAGGGAAACAAACCAGAACATCAAACGTCTGAGCCAGAATTCTGCCTAGTTTCGTTACATGGCATTTTAATAAATAACGGGCTACTTCTAGCAAAACGAGGCTTCTGTGGCTGATTTATTGCAATGCCTCAGCCAAGAATATTCCATTTTTATATAAAGACAGGAATCTGGTGTGTGAACAGAATCTTAACCCTGAGCTACCAAGCGGTGTGAAAAACAGGGGAAGGAAAATAAATACAAATACCCCCATCCTTACAAGGCAACATGGAAAGGCAATAAATGCCTCATGTTTTACTCATTTATTCTGGCTTTTTTTTTTTTACACTCCTCAATTGTTTTTGAAACCGGAAACAAAAAACTTGCTGGAGGCCAATGACTGTTTAAAACAGGGAGAAACCTGCTCATGGAGAAACCTAGTTTTTAGTCCTTCTGCATGTGTCAGTCTCTTAAAACCACTTGATTCCATTTGGGCGGGGAGGGAATTAAAACTATATATATTTACAATAATTCAAAGGCTGCCATGTAACCGTGACACAAGCCCCAGCTGTAGATGGAAATACACCAACACTGTCTTTTTCAGTTCACTTTCCCTCGAAGTAAAAAAAAAACAAAACTCTGCTATGCCTATCACTCAAACATCTGTTTCCGAAAATGAGGGTCAAATTAGACATTAAGAGGGAACATGTATTCTCTCTGAGCAACCCGTTTCCCCCAATCAAAAATGGACTTCATCAGAGACAGTGGTCTCAGCAATCAGACTTGCAAATTAAGTCCCTGTTCAATTTACCTATTATGGCTCTCATGTGCTGTCAAATCAGATCCACCTGAAAGCAACCCTAATAAGGGCTTTCCAAGTAAGTGCGATATTTGAGTGGTTTTACCAGTTCCAGACACACATCCCATGAGCATTCATGGCTGAGTTGGGGATTTGAACCCAGGCCTCCCGAGTCCTCCTATTCCCATCACTGAATCCACACACACCACGTTGGGTGTTTACCTACCAGTGATCAACAGCAGTCCACGCTAAATGCAAGCTATGGAGGGGAGGAAAATTCCATCTCAGCAGAAGCAGGGGGGAAAACTATTCTAAGTATATTGGCTGAAATCCAGTAATAAGTAAGCTCCATCTCAGCAGAAGCGGGGGGGGGGGAAACTATTCTAAGCATATTGGCTGAAATCCAGTAATAAGTAAGCTGCAATTGAAGTAGGGCCACAGAATCAGAAGAGGAACTGACTCGCCAAATCCCCATTGATTCAGTGGACCTACTCCAGTTGTAACTTACAGCTAGATTTTAGCCACCATCTAGTATAAATCTCCAACAGGACATCTGAAGACAGAAAACTGTCTTTGTACCTTTTATTTGGGTGGGAGAAAAATTCCCTAATATGTTTTTTCTCTCCCAGATTTCCTTCACAGATTATTCTTTAGATAACCAGTAGTAAACAGGTAATCCCAGCTATATTGAGACAACAGAAAAGTTGATGAACTGGTAGGCGATGTGTCAAATAATCCCCAATAATTAGTTGCAACCAGTATGGAATTTCTCCTTCTAATCTAACAACAGCAGTTTTTAAAAATCCATCAAATGTAGCCGGATCGTTCTCATGGAGAAAAGCAGGAGAGGGAAACAAATTAAGGTTTTCAATAATGCACATTTGGCTCTAAAAACGAGAGAAACCCCCCCCAAAAGAGTTAACTCTGCGTCTCTTTTAGATAAGGCATCTAATGTAACAGATATGTGTGGGAACGTAGCCACACAAAGCAACTTTGGCTGCATTTACGGACAACTTCCTTCTCTGGCTGGGAAATAGGATAATTTTTTTAAAAGTACTTCAGTTTCTGTACAGATCGCTTTGCAATTTCCAAAAAAAAAGAGAGTCGTCACCCTTGAGGCATTTCGCGAGAGAAATCGCATGTCTGGTAGGGACGAGGCTAAAGTTAAAGCAAAGGTGCAGGAAACACACGGGCGAGGGAAACTGATTTTAAAAACCATCAAGAACGCAAAAGCACAGCTAATTACAAGCCTGTATATACACTTAAAAGTTAACCACATTTATTGTGGTGTCTCAGCCAACAGATTACCTGGTCCAAATCCTTGTTCTTTTTTTTTTTTCCCCATCCCCCAAAAACTGAGAGAGAGTAGGAAAAACCTCATTAAAACCAGCGGCAACATCGTTAAAAACTGTACACTGTTGTCCATTAACTTACAAAGGAGCCACCCACCCCCCAAAGTCACCAGATGGTATAAAAGCAAAATCCGGTGCCTTTTAACTATATATTTTTTAAAAAATAAAAGTCACTTTCCCCTATCTCCAGCAAGTCGAAAAAACAAAAAATAAACAAAAAACAACAAAAAAAACCCCCAAAACATGGGCTCAGTTATCTCCATTGTCTCTGCCCGATCAGGAAGAAGAGGATGCTAAACAGCAACGTTGCATTGCAGAGGTCCATGCGGCTGGCCGAACTGTTCAGTTTTTTATCCAGTTTGTTGCTATTCTGCGTGACTTCTGTTGCGTTGAACACAAATTCTTGGGAACACTGCGGCGAGTCACAACCACTTCCGCTCTCTTCTCCACTGCTTCCATCACCTGCAAGAAGGCACGGGAAAAAAATCTGTTTTACCCATCACTAGGCTGTGGATGCAGCAAGCTCAACAGGGAGCGACAAAACCATTGCCTCGGTCCGTTTTATAAAGGTTCTATTGGCCCTTTCCCATGCCGTACAAATTTAGACAAGGTCAAGCCATCGGCAACAGAGAAGTGAAACATGCCCAGATTCCGTCTTCTACTCTTAACTCTTGCATCTCAGGAAGACCAGCTACCTCAAAGGCACTTTAGATGTAGAGTCAAGAGTTTGGAAAAGTTACTTTTTCGGGGTTACAGCTGTAAAGGGAGTTGTGGTCCAAAAAAATTACCATTTCCAAACTGCATGTGGTTAAGTCTTTCCTGTGCCGTTTCAGTTCAGAAGGCTAGTGGTGGGACAGAACAATGGAGTTGGAAGGGACCAATAAGGCCATCGAGTCAAAGCAGGAATCCAGATCTCATGAATGCCTCCAACACTGGAGCCTCACCACCTCCTGAGACCATTGTTTCCATTGTTGTACTGCTCTAACAGTTGAGATGTTTTTCCTGATATTCAGCCTTAATCTGGCTTCCTGTACCTTGAGCCCATTTTTACGTGTCCTGCACTCTGGGACGGTCAAGAACAGATCCTGCCCCTCCTTTGTAGGACTACCTTTCAAGTATTTGGAAAGTGCTATCCTATCAGTCTCCTTTTCTCAAGGCTAAGCTTGCCCAGTTCTTTCCATCTTTCCTCCTAGGACTTGCCTGATCGGTCGTCTTTGTTACCCTCCTCTGAACTTAATTCCACTGCATATTCCCACCCCTAAATACATCAACATTTTGGGCTGCTTTGATAAGGAAACCAGGCGTATATATGGGGAGTTGTCTGCAGGTCCTTTTAGCAGATTTTCTTGGAAAGCGTGCAACATTTTGTCAACTGTTCCTGGGGGGAAAGGCATCAACCACATTTCCAGCGTCTGGTCAGACATTTAGGGAAGTCAAGGGCAGGCAAAGCGTCTCCTCCCCACGTGGTCAGAGGTTAACTCTGCAGAAATGGGTCCACAGCAAACCCTGGCTAGCAATCCAAACCTGCTGAACTTCAGTCCATTCAATGCACTCTTGGTCCATTCCGAATACATGTCCACACTTACTTATATCGATAAAGTCCACGTCATTCCCATTGTAGGCGTTCTTCATTTTATTCGTCATCTCTCGGAGGCCGACGATCTGTCGGCGAATGACCAAGTCCAGTTTTGCAGTGTCAACGTTCACTTCCGGGTTGTTTGCCTGGTTAGCTAGGCCATTCGCCGTCACGGCAAAGACATACCTACAATGGTAAAGTCATGTTTAAAATCAGAATTAGCTTGTCTAGAATGGGAGCAACAGCGTCAACGGGTTGGCTAAGCCAGTGGTTCCCAACCTTGCGTCTCCAGATGATGGTAAAGCCATGTTTAAAATCAGAATCAGCTTGTCTAGAATGGGAGCAACGGGGCCAACGGGTTGGCTAAGCCACTGGTTCCCAGCCTTGCATCCCCAGATGTTCTTGGACTAAAACTCCCAGAAGCCTTTGCCATGAGCTGTGCTGGCCAGGATTTTTGGGAGTTGCAGTCCACGAACATCTGGGTTATCCAAGGCCGGGCAACACTGGCCTGCTCTATGCAAGCCAGTTCCATGGCCCACAGGAAGGTACTGCTGGATCCAGAGGTTGAGGGAAGCGACCCTGAGAGTAAAACGCCATTCAGAGAAGCTACGGAGTCGGTCAAAATGAAAATTCACATTTTTTCCAAACCTGCTTTTATCGCTCCCGTTCCAACACTCTTCCTCGTTGGTGCTCCCGGCGGCCATTTTCTCATTGCTACAGATGTTACTGGGAAGGGATGACCAGAATTTCCTGGCTTGCTTCAGTTTTTCCTTCACATCTGTCACCTAAGGGTTAAATGAGGGAAAGCACCATGATCAAAGTGATCCTTATTTTTATTTAGAAGTCTTCTCTTTTTTCCCCTCACAAGATCGAAGCCAAGTCGATCAAGCTCTGAACCGTTTACACTGACTGGCAAAGACCTTCCAGTGCTCCAGGATGGGCTTTTTCCCACCCCTGCCCCCAATTTTGTCAACATTATTATTAAACCTGGTGTTTTTTTTGGGGAGGTGTTACTATCTGTTGATTGTTTTCATGGTGTTGTTGTTGTTTTGGGAGGTGTTACTATCTGTTGATTGTTTTCCCATGCACCACAGACAGAATAAAATGATTAAAAACCATTTTGAAGCATGGCTTTGGAAACAGAGTAAACACTCTTTAAAAGCAGGCTTAGAACATTCTTTAAAAGCCAACTGATTTCTCGGAACACATTCTCAGGACTAGGGATGGGCGCGAACCACCGAAACTGGCGTTCAAAAGTTCACAGCTCCACCTTCTCCAGGGGACACCCACTCAGAGGCAGCGCCTGGAGGAGGCGGGGCTAGAGAAGGTGGGGCAAGGCCTCTGAGTGGGCGGCCACTAGAGGAGGCGGGGCTGAGAAACGCCAAACACCAGTGGGTACGAAGGACGAATCAGCGTGGACCGCCGAACTGGCTCATGGCCATCTCTACTCAGGACCAATTCTATCAAAACAGTTTGGGCTCCCCCCTATGTTCTCAGCAGGTACAGCGTCAACCTAACTTTCCCACCGAGGTCCATAAAGGAGGCATAGGCCAAAAGTTGGTAATGTGCTCCAATACTGACACAAAGCAGAATCTCCCCCAATGCAGAATCCATCTGACACAAGGAATCAAGAAGCCTCTGCTCTCTGTAGCCCTGTTTAAGAGGACCACCACACCAAATACGCCGAGTCTGGGGTTGAAAGAATCCAACCGCCCATCAGGAGCTCCGCTGTACGCCTCGACACACTCACCAGCCGATCTAAGCTCGTCCCGGCGGCTGTGGTCGGTCGCTCCTCTCGGTTGTAGGGTCTAAAGCGGGCACTGAAGCTACTTTCTGCGGCCGAGCGAGCCGTCCGACTTTGAGCCAACACCTTGGGCTGTCCACATCCTTGGAAAACCTACGCCGAGAAAGACACGGCAGATTCAGAAACCAGACTGTTAGATGACAAACGTAAGATCCCATATAATCTGACCTTCTGGAGGAGGCAACGGCTGCATTCAGACATTCTAAAAAGCCGGGATTCTACTGAACATGAATTCTTGTGTGTGATGGAGCCAGCGTGAAAACACATGCTACCAGTCTTTCGACATGCTAGTAAAAATGTTTCTCTGCCGAAAGGGCTATTAAGGGCGGGAATACACCCAGTACTTCTTTGCCAGCTTCTTCTCTCCCACCCTCTAATCCACTCAGAACATATGCCTGCCATACCTTCTGAGACACCTGCATGCTGTTGTCCTGCATGTTCATGATGGCCTCGGAGATCTTGACGTCAATGGGATCCATGACGGATTCTATGTTGAAAGGACCCTCCAGCCTCTCAGCTACCATCAGCATGGAGTCTAACCATGGAAAACAAGAGAGGAGCAAGACGTGGTTGAGTGAAAACTCAAGCCAAATGTGAAAAAGGGTGGATCGTGGGTCCCAGAGTCTTTGAGGCCAAAGATCCTACTGCTCATAATGCTGGAAGAGAAATGTCCATCTTTCAGGATGGAGGGGGGAAAACTAAGAGTGGAGAAACCCGCAAGCAATGATGAGCAACCAGACTCTCATAAAGGCCCAGAACAGAAACTCTTGCAGAAATATTTCATAAATGAACTTCTCTGCTGGAGTTTTTTGTTTTGTCATTGAGTAGTGGCTTAGCCCTCATTGAACGCTTTCAGCCAGGAATCTTTTAGCACCTGAACTCTGCTCCCAGTATAAAACAAGACTAAAATGAGTTGGAAAACATTATTATGGGCTTTTTTTAAAAAAAGCAAAGAAACACTGGATGACACGAGACAAGGTGAACGTCATGTGGATAACAGGGAAAATATTGATAAAATAGGTCGAGAACCAATAATTTTACAAGAGGAAACACTCCATCTGGAGAAATCTCATGTTACTCAGAAGTGCTTGCCAAGCCTGAACACACACCATCCTGATCCCAAGTATACAGGCACAAACCTAAAACTGAATTATACTCTTGGCCCCCGTAGGCCCCGACTGTCAACACTGATGGGCAACAACCACCTCCCAGGGTTTGAGGTGGGAGTTTCTCCTTAGCTCTGCCTTGGTTTGGCCTCCACGAGGAACCGTCCGACACGAAGCAGGAATGAGCTAGCGCCACGTCGGTGTTTCAAAGGGTGAGCAGCAACAGAGAGAGAACAACAGACAGCCTCTCTCTGTTTAAAAAACCCAAAATCTGAAGGATGCGTATTGTTGCACCTAAGGCTGAAACAAACGGCCTGGCACCCCCTTCTCTCAAGGAGATTTTCCTCTTGAGCTATTGTACGCAATGTGGAGCCTTCTACAATTAGCAAATTGTCCCAGCGATTTGGCGCCCTGCCCTTCTCTCCTCTCCCACTCCCGCCTGCTCTCCTTCTGTTGTGACTCCTTTCAATGTCGGCCTCTTCGGCTTACAGCCTCGGATGAATCAGCTAGTGTGTTCACGTCCTCTCTAATGAAACCGGGATTTCTAAGAGCTCTCTCCAAAGGCGGGCACAAGGCGAGCCTCTGTAACAAGCCTGGTGGGACGGAGGGGCTGGGAGGAGGTTGAACACGGGCACCAAGCAACATTCCCAAAGGCCGTGAGCCGCCGTGGCTTCGGCAAATCTGGCGGATACATTTTTTCTTAAAAAAAGAAAAACTACTGGACCTCGAAAAGGTTTGCTGCTGTCACAGAATCGGGTGCCTGGTTACCTGGAAGCAACCCCCTACTCGCCAAAGGCAACCAGCAAATGGGACGCCAGTGTCACATGACTCAGTAAAGATCTACAGAGGTCATGTGTTTCCCCCCAACGACCTAGGGATTGTACTTCTGAGGCGGGGGGAAAAAAACAGATGAACAGATATTTTCAAAGTTGTTTTCAGGAAGGATTTCATTGTCTCCTCCTCGCTCCATCAAGATGGCGCCGGGCACTTAACACTCCCTGGTACCTACAATGGAACTACAGAGGGGAAAATACCTGTTGTGTTCTCAGTGACCTAATATTTAGATGTTAATTCCATCATCATCATCATCATCATCATCATCATCATCATCATCATCATCATCATCATGATGCGCCATCAAGACAATTCTTATTTATGGCTATCCTTTTGGGGGGGGTTCTGGGAGAGGTTAATAAGAAGTGATTTACCATTCCCTTCTCCTGGGGAAGACTGGGGTGTCCTGGGGCTGTGCAGCTTGCCCAAGGCTACCCAGGCTGGCTCTTCTCCCAGGAGGCACAGCGGGCGATCAAACCCTCAGCCTCTGGCTCCACAGTTTAGACATCCAAGCCACTGAGCAATCCAGCCAGCTATGGATAAACTATATATGGAACTCACCATCACAAGCTAGGCAGAGAATACTCAGCAGTGGTTCCCTGTTCTCTTCCTCTTGTGCAGCTGGCCCAAGGCTACCCAGGCTGGCTCTTCTTGCAGGAGGCACAGTGGGGGGGATCAAGCTCAACCATTGCCAGCTAGAGGCTAACTTCCTGACCATGGATTGTCTTTCAGTGGGAACACCCTCCCTCATTTTTGCCTTGAGCAGAGCTAAAGCAAGGCAGCTGGAGAAATTCTCGAAAACATCATCCAAAAATGGAACTTCTCCAAGCGCTGGCCTCTAGACAAAGCAGGGCTGTGCAAAGAACCGTAACGAAAGCCAGAGGACCGAGGCTGATGATTGTAAGTCATCCTCCACCAGAAACTGCCCAAGACTGCCAAGAACTGCCCATTAGAAGAAGCCTTGAAGCTCAGAGAGCAATCCATTACAACACCTCTGAGACCAGGAGGGGCTGCCGGCTGAGGGCAGGGCTCATAAAATCTTACAGATTTATCCTGCAGACAAGCCCTTTAAAAAATGAAGACGCATCACGCAACTATAAATTTGAAACTGATCTCACTTTTTAAAAAACCGGATCTTTCCAGTTTTTGGACAGTTTGCTTTTTTCCATGTAAGTTTTGATGGGTTCCCCCCCCCCAATTTGCACTACCTTTGAAAAAAATAATAATAAACGCCCCGGGGGGGGGGGGACAAGCCATCATTTCTCCAACGACTACAGCTGTCTTTTGCCCCCTCTCCTCAACGAGGGGAGTGGTGGCTTTTTGTCATCTGGTTTTTTTTTAATTGCCAGCTCAGCGACTCACCTATGAAGTTATTCCACTCCGTGTCAAGTTCTCCTTGGTTGGCAAGGCAGCCTCTCATGACGTTGAAACAGTAGTTGTAACACGGCTTGACAGCCACTAAGCCTCGGCAGTGTGGACAGTACATCATCTTCAGCAAAGCCCGGGCCCCTTCCGGTGTGGGGTTGACCTTCAAGAAGAACAGGAAATAAAAGAGGGGGATAATGAGAGACACGAATTGCTATCATTACTCCTCAACACTTAGGTCCAATGAGTTTCTAATGCAATCCGAAACTTCGTTGTATGTAGAGATGGGCCCGAATCACTAGTTTGGCAGTTCGCACTGATTCGTTGTTTTGGCCGAACAGGTGTTTGCCATGTCAAAAAACCCACCTCCTCCTCCAGCAGGCGCCCACTCGGAAGTAGCACCCAGACGAAGTAAGGTAGGGAAGCCAAGCTGCCCCCTCTGAGCGGGCGGCTGCCAAAGGAGGCAGGGCTTCGAAGCGCCGAACATTGGTTCGGTCAATAAACTAACTGGCACAAGTTGCCGAACTGATGATTCGGGCCCATCTCTAGTTGAGAGACCCAGAAGTCACATTCCTAAAAAGGGCAAAGATGGCCTGTGTTTGCGATCTTGAAGGCATGATAGAAAAGAAAAAACGGCAGAGGAGGGAAGAAGGAAAAGGATGTGCTTAGAAACGTCCTGGCAGGGTAGAAGGAAAAGGATGTGCTTAGAAACGTCCTCTCCCTAGGACGTTCCCCCAGCTAATGGCAGAACCCAAATACTGCCACTTCCAATTCAGGTCTCAAATCACAGGATGACAAATCATTTTCATCTCCAAACAAAGAAGGAGGTACATCTTTACTATCAGCATAATATACATCCCATCAGGTCCCGAAACTATAGAGATCGCGGACAAGGATTGGCTACTGAGGCTATGTGGGTTTCAAGCTTCTAGTCCACATTAAGTCCTCCTGATAAAACAATGACAATCACCCAGCAGAAGGGCAGACAGCGATGGTGAGTGCCAGGACTGGTCAGGCACGGCTTCGTGCCTTGAGCAGGGCTTAAGCAAGGCGCCTGACAGTCCATGGCTGAAAAATTGTGGCTACCCAGAGCGAGGAAATAATACATTCTTCATTTTGTATTAAAATGGAAGAGAAGTCAACAAAAGTGGATAAAAAGCAATGATTTTTTGAAAAATCAAATTGACTTAAACCACAATTTAAATTTAAAAATCTATTGATTTTTAATAGTCAAGGAATCTGTTTTGATTTAAATCATGATTTAACTCAAATCCACCCTGAAGCCATCTGATCCATAAAAAAGGGTAACATTTCAGAAGTAATGTCTTAACATTTTAGTCATGTTTTCAAAACATTGTTCCTTGCCAGATCCTTGTTTAGCGTAAAAGTAACCATTTTGAAAAACACTGCCAGAATTGAGACTGACAAGGTTGGAGGTATAATTGCATAAAATTCAGCAGTACATTGCAGCTAATGAAGGCGTCAATGCTCACGCTCCTGGTCACATGCCAAGTCCTGCAGCAGACGTGTGACTAGGAATGCAAGCGGCGACTCATTCATTAGTGGCAACTCACGGCTGCAACTCACTTGGGCCACAGCAAACTGCCAGTTCGATTTTGGACCCATGCTTTATCTCCCAGCTCAGATCAATCAGATGTTGCATAGGAAAGCATTTCAAAACAGACAACTCTCCTCCTGCTGGCCCAATCCACGGGCACAGTCTGCATCGCCACTGCAAAAAGTCAAAGCCCCCTTTCCGCTGCACACAACTGCTCCGTCAGCAACTCTCCAAGATGTGTGATGTTCCACTTTATGCAATGAAGCCTGGTGCCAGCACTTACAAAAACATGCCTGCATACACACCCACCACTGAGAGCAATAAAGGCACCTTCCAGACACACTTTGTTCTTGTATTTATCTTGGACAGAGGCTGAGCCCTGCAATGGGGCAGGGAGAAAGACTTCGTTTAACATACACCAACCGAAGGTTTTCAACATTAAGCAGAGACTGGATTTGAACCCTGAAACAAAATTTAAAGGGTGGGACAAGCATGTCACTGAGCCCCACATCCACTCTCTATTTTAATCTGTGGATGTCTAGGTAAGAAGATGATTAAAAGACACATAAGCAGCTTTCTTTCAGCCATCCCTATATTGTTTGTTGGATATCCCTGAAGGCTAGAAAGTTACAGACAAGAAATGAGCTTTTTCTCCATTTTGATTTCAATATTTTTCTCCATGTCTAACCTCTTGGTCTTCTTTCTGACCATCTCAGTACAGTGGTGCCTTGCTTGACGAGGGTAATTCGTTCCGTTCAAATCGCTGTTAAGCGAAATCCTTGTCAAGCGAAACGAAAAAGCCCATTGAAATGCATTGAAAACCGGTTCAATGCATTCCAACGGGCGAAGTACCTCAGCATCCAGCAAAGATACTCCATAGGGCGGCCATTTTCCGGTGCCTGTAATGCGAGGAATCTGTCCTAAAGCACAGCGGGGAGCCATTTTGCATAGCGGGTGGCCATTTTGAAACCCGACAATCAGCTGTTTTTGATCATTGTTAAGCGAAAAATCGGTTCCCAAAGCAGGGAACCGATCGTTGTGAAACGGAAAAACCCCACTGAATCATCGTTTAGCGATTGCAAAAAACACTAATCGTCAAGCGATTTCTTCGTCTATGGAGGTAATCGTCAAGCGAGGCACCACTGTACTGTAATTCCCCTCTACTGGTTCTCCAGCAGATCCTAACCAATCAGGGGGCATGCTGTGACCCTCTGCTGGTTCTCCCTGAATCTCCCTTCTGATACAGCTAGTCATCCAGCGGATCCTAACCAATCAGGGGGCATGCTGTGACCAGGTTGACATCACAGCACTCCACCACCACCCACCAGGTTTGGGGACAACAAGAAGTTATGGCAAATTTTCTGAACTGGCAAGCACCTCTAACCCCATTTGTTTGAAGAAAAGCATGGTCCTAGCCAATAAGTGATCACATGATACTCAGCCAGCCTTGGGCAAGCTGCACATTCCCGGAGCAAACCCCAGAAGAAAGGAAAAGTCAACCACATCTTAGCCTTCTCCAGCAGGAAAATTCTGAAAAGGGTTGCCATAACTCACAACGGACTTGACAGCACATGAGGATAATTGCTATTAGGTAGCCAATCAGTTCCGGCAACGTGACTATGCATATCCTCAAATGAAGGCAAAAATCCACCAAAACCTTTGGCCCCTTTCAAAATCCATCATCCACAGACTGCTGAAAGAGGCGCCTGCTCCCCACGCAGCCTGGAACTGCCTACCAAGAGCCGGCCCCCACCGATTATTTTTGCCGCGGCCCTAATTTTGAATGACACATCGCTCTGCCATGTGTTCTTCATTACAAGGAAATGTCTGAAGTCTTTGAATCGCAAAATATTACGTTCCCCTCCTCCCCAAGTCACTATGGGATCTGGCTTACATATTTTCCTCTTATTTTGTTTTGATTTTTTTTTCTTTAAAAAAAAAATAATAAAATGCCCTCGAGGGTTTGGGCAGGAAATGTCCACGCTTGGCAGCAATTTAAACCTGCTGATTTTAATGTCTGTCAAGGGTTCAATAATAGCCAGAATCCTTCCACTCCCCCACCCGCCTCACATTTCACCATTTCAAAAAGGAAATGGGGGGGAGGAGGAGGAAGGGAATATGTAATAGAGGCAGTTCCCATAGTCACAAAATTCCAAAAAAGCTATGAAATGTTACTGAAGAATCCACACGGAGCCCAAAAAATATGGAGAGAGGAGAGGGGTGGCATCTTATTATAGACTGGAACTTGCAGGTTAAAAGCACTTTCCTAAGGATTTAAATTCACGTGGCCTGCATCTGCCAGTGCTTTTCAACCAACTAAATTTAAAACAAGACAAATCAAACCTGGGTTGCACATCAAATCAAGCCTGAACTCTCTCGGGAGACCAAAATGCTGAAACCGAGGCTGTCCTACATGGGGCACATTATGAGAACACGAGAGGATTCTCTTGAAAAGACATTCATGCTGGGAAAGTTAGGAGGCAGCAGGAGAAGAGGAAGACCAAATATGAGATGGATTGACTGCCTAAAAGAAGCTATGGGCTTGAATTTGCAAGAGCTGAGAAGGGCAGTTGTGGACAGGACATTTTGGAGATCATTTATTCATGGGGGTCATCATAAGTTGGAAACAACTTGACGGCATGTAACAACAACACAACCACAATACATTGACTTCCTGTATGCTTAGTACAGCACCATGACATCTTGACCCACATGTGCATCTGGTTAGAGGCACTTCCAACTAGGTATGGGAATTTGGAATATAATTTTCACTGCAGCTACCACAATCCACCAGGGACGTGGTGGCGCTGCGGGTTAAACCACAGAAGCCTCCGTGCTGCAAGGTCAGAAGACCAGCCGTTGTAAGATCGAATCCACGGGACGGAGTGAGCTCCCGT